ATCATTTTCAAGCCAAAAAGCTGTTCCCCCGGAATGAACTACTACTTCGTCATCAAGGTTGCGGAAGCCTGAAAACTCGATAATCACGACATCGTGGACATCACGGAATCGATTTTGTGGCCTGCAGCGATTGAATCTTGCATCGTAATTGATCGATCGTCGAGAAAATTTCGAAACGTCGACCAGAGGCAGTATGGTGACCCGTTGTAGCCGTGTGTTTCATCGTTGCTCGATCGTGCGACAAGTAAAAGGCTGCTGGTCCGAGAGATCGCTGCCGTTAAAAAGAAAATGAAAAAAATGTTTAAAAGCGAAAAATAAAATATGCTCTCTTTGCCCTGAAACCGTTTCATTATTATCGTTAATCGAGTTTCGCCCTCGGGGTCGGCAGGTTTTCACGCGAGTAAATGGTTAAATTGAATCACACGTATAGACGAGCAGGGAAAGAACGAGAGGCGCGTTGTAAAATACAGCTGCTGTCGATAATATCCGAGTATTAATTTGCAATTAGTAGGCATGCGAGTGAGCACGAGCTACGGACGCGTTAATTGTCGGCATGTAAATCGTGCTGTCGGTCGTAGGCGCGAATTTTAAGCGAGTTCCACGCATTATACGCGACCGATCTCTAAACCTTGCGAAAAACAAACTGTACGGGCCGGGATCGTTTCGTAATTTCTGCTTTATGTAATTGGCATCGATCGTGGAAGCTCGGAACGAAAGCGGGAGAAAGCGATCGCGAGTTACGGCGATTCGGTTTTGAGACGAGCACAACACGGCAGTCGTACCTCCTCGGTGTTGAACCATCTCGCGAGTCGCGTTTCGTTTCGAAAACCTATCGTGCATTTCGCGATTATACACGCTTTCACTTTTTTTTTTTTTCGTTTTCCAAAGGAGAATCTAAAATTAATTATGTGCGTAGTTTTCAATAATTAGAGCATTTTTCAAAGATCATTTTATTGCATTTTTTAATGCACAGATCTTCTATTCGTATATTTAAGATTTTATTTAATTGAATTAATTTTATTGACCTTCGAGTTTTCTAGCTATATGTGTTTACACCGTAAAAGTATGATTCATAATTAATTGGTTAATCAAAGAGAAAATTAGAAGAGAAGAGCTACGAATAGAAGAACGTTCGTTCAGACATCGTAGACATCGTTGTAGTTATAAAGACGCTCGGAATATTTCGGAGAGTTTATCGCGGCGGCTCTGCGGGAATCGGCCTATTTTTGAGGACAAATCAATTTTTCCACGGTATTCGGAGCTGTAATAATTTCCGCGGGTCTTGCGGTTTCCTGGTGACATATTTCCCATTGTCGACTATCTTCTTAGTGAAATTGGATCAACGTGTAGCTGCTCTGTGTAGGAAAAGCTTTGGCGGAAACAAGAGCGCGTCTTTTTCAGCTGGATGAACATTTATCTTTCTTTATTTTACTTTAGTCGGTGATTTGTCGTAGACCAAGACTTGACCAAGGTTGCTGTACGCTCGTTCTAATCTCGTTTATTTCGTAACAGTCTGCTCCGGAAACTCATCGATCATCGTTTACATTCCGATCAAACTATCAAACTTAATCATTACCGATAATTCAACGAGAGATTATCTACTGTATGAAATCCCGAGATAACGTCTCGGTTCGATTAATTGTTTAATTAAGCATACGTGACTGTCCGTTTGCATCCGGTTTCCTTGCCTGTGATTATGGCCACGTTTTCGCAACGAGAGAAATCTCTCTAGTCGTTGCATTTCGTATGACCATGCACGTTTCAGCGTCTTCACTCAATGGATCGACACAAATCAGAACGGAAGCTCGACCGGATGGATACGCATTAGGAAATATATTCTACGTGACGTTAGATCTTCGATAGCATTAATCAGCTGAGTATATTTTCTTTTCAATCGGTACGATTTGTAGCTGGTAATCGAGAATCCTTACCGCGTATTCACTCTGTTAGAATCGTCACGTGCTAATGCTAGATGAGAACCACACGTCTATTCGTGTTCACGCGCATGAATTAAGCTCGTCTCGGTCGGCACGTGAGATCCGGTACTGATTCAACGTCGTGACATACTCGTCAATTACATTCGCGTGTAATTCATTCGCGATCCGCGAGACTCTGATTCCAGATCGAGATTCCAATTGTCCTCCTTAATCGGCCGGATTCGCGTGAGCCTGATGGTGCTATCGTAAGAATCGCAGGTTTAGTCTAAGTTCCTCTTTCGGCGAAGTTGAACCGTGTCGGTTTCTTGAGTAGGCTTATCGCATACATTATCGGTCAAAAATTTGGGTCTACTTTGTATCTAAGTTCCAGTTGTATCTGAAATTAATGGTGGACAGAGGAAAGGTTAAAAAATTACAATTTTATAAAACGCAATAATATTTGATAAGAGCAATAAATAGATATAATATGTAGGTCTACGTCAGAATAGGTGACTGTTAATAACACGATAACAAATGTTTAATCCTAACTCTTATACTTAACTTGCTCCTATCTGTCTGCATTTTCTGCCAGTACAATTTTCAATTGAAAAATTAAAACTGTGGATATCGATAGTAATTTCCTTCACATCGATAGATTTTCGAATAAAGAATTGTACACCGTGACAGCTAATCCTACAGTTATCTTTCAACAAAATTTATTTATTTGTATATTAAGATACATCGAGTCTTTGATCTCATGTACGACGAAAGCAGCTAAACGAATAACACGATTACAATAATTACAATGTATTATCGCTGAACATATAATTGGTCGTTGTAGAGCCACGAGAAAAATACACTTTTGCAAATCTGGCTCGCCATTGAGCATTCAAGTTCACCTAGAGCAATCTTGTACGGGAGAATTACTTCCGAAGGATCCTTCTGGGATATTAAATTGAAATAGTTCAACAAATAAATTCGCAGATTCTATACGTATAAAATACATGTGGGGCTTCTTTAAAACTTTTGACCTACAGTATGTCGAGGTTCGTGACTTGTAGATATCGTGATCTCACGTAAAACTCTTTAAATCGTAGATTCTAAGAATCAAGCACAAACGATCGACGCTACTTAACGTGGATCGGTAGAGAAAAAACCTGGCACGAACAAAGATCTTTTCTATTTAAATTTTCAAATCTTGTACAAATTTGTTCGCTGTATATTCTGAATATATATATATGTAGATTTACACTTGGAGTCTGAAAAAACGAAGGTCTTAATCAACGACTTGGTCCGCTTACGATCGATTTTCATGCTGTCGTTGCGAGTTGTACCAACTGCGATTAGAGTGGCGCCTGGAAACTCCGCGTCGTTCGAATCAGTACAATGGTTCGAATTTCGAACTGTACAGGTCCTCGACTAAACGACTTTAGTGGTTAATGTCAGTGAATAATTGGAGAGCTCACAAAATTACGTTCCCCTGTGAAGTCGTCCCGTATACCGAAGAATCTCTTTGCAATGTCAAATGCTCGTGTGTTGATGAAACGCGTGTTACCGACTGTCGTGGCTTGATATACGCTTGTTTAACTACCAAACAACTTCTCAATCGCTATTCAGAAGTAGGAAAAGTACTTTCGTTCTCGAACGTCTCCGTTTCCTTATTCCCCGACGATATAACTGAACAATAGTTTGCAAAGCGAAGTTGTTGGAGACTTTGCCTCGCCGTACAAAGATTCTCGTCACGAAGTTGGCGTTCATAAGGTCACCGAGGGAGTATCTTTGTCCTGGCGCATACGAATTCGACGGACGACGAGATTTTATTCGTTGGTGAATGTTTTGGAAACCACTTTCGCGTCACGATCCTCGTTGATGCATCGACAGAATTTTGTTCGCGTAAGGCTACGATCGCAATGTGTTCTGACGAGTTGTCGTTTCAACGAATATGCCAGGACAGTGAAAAATATAGATTCCTATGGGTAGGGTAAGGTAGGCTTATTTAAATCTAGATATGTCATTTGTTTTGTAATTGGCCAAAATTTTAAGCGATCTACGTTTAGAAACAAAACTATTTCATCAGTTTTTAATCGCGATAGACAGTGAAATAACTTGCACTCGTCAAAACAAAAGAAGTATGTTCAGTGTTGGTATTGTCAATTCAATTCAATCGCATGTACATATTACGCTATCTCTGAGAGTTATTTGTTCCTTATTGTATTACTTCTTACACAATACATCTGCGCTGATTCAAATAACTCGTTTCTTAGATTTGTTCTTACTAGCTCTCAGGTATTTTCTCTTTCTTTCGTTATTATATCAGAGACTAATTGTGCCTCGTAATATCCATCGGATTTCGCTATTCTATGCAAAGTCCACGATTGGATTTTAAAACATAGGATAGGTGCACTTCGTACTAAAATATTTCACTCATCAGGACGATAATTGGTCAAAACACGGATTCACTGTAGATACACTCTAATGAATTTCGTTTTGTTTGCGTGTAAATTGAATTATTATAAATTCAAAAGCAGCGAGAAAGCTTTGTGTGCATTAATAACCAGTAACCATGATACCACAACAACCGCACACGTTAGCCCACAAATCTGGTCAATCCAATTTCTCACGCGAGGTGCAATCAACGGAGGAGGTCGTCCCTCGATGGAGAATTATTGCGCGATTACGGTGCTGTCGAAATGGAGGCGGAGACGAACGTGACAGAATTAATACGACGTGTACGATGCTGTTTCTCGCGCTTCTTTTTTCTCGTAATTAATCGCAGCTTATGTCTATCAGTTTCATATTTATTAATACACAGATAAAGCAAAAAGTTAATAAACACGAATGAGATACACTCGAATTGATATTTCTTATTGCGTAAAACGAGCATAATTAATATATACATATACGTATGCATTATACTTATATGCATATACATATATAAGTCCGCGCAATCCATGAAATATTGTAACAGTATGTATTTACGACGCTAAAAAGGTATTAATGAAATCGATAGCGCGTGTATAATCCGTGTAATTGGTACAATCGTAGAATGCATACGTAAACCTTTTACCTTTGGTTTTGTTTCAGGGAAGAACCTCTACAATAACGAGCATGTAGCGATTAAATTGGTGAGTTCATTAAAATTTGAGACAGTCACGACTTTTGTCTAGAGTCCTCCCGTTAGTGTAATTCCATTTTAACGATAGAGAAAGATACGTGGAAGTTGCTTAATTGCTTTTAACAATTTGTCTTTCCGTCGATTCTAACAACCTCCGAGAGAAATCTCGTTCAGTTCGTGGATATATAAAAATAAGAACACATTAACTTCATACGATTTTCTGGTCGTGAACTTTTATTTTAAAACGACGTCTCTTTTGGACTTTTCAGGAACCAATGAGGTCAAAGGCGCCGCAGCTACATTTAGAATATAGGTTTTACAAATTATTAGGTACACATGGTGAGTATCTGTAATCTAAACGTTGAAGTTCTATTGAAATAATTAATATTCTGATCGATTAATGTGATTAATCGTGCACAGAGGGTATACCAGAAGTATACTACTTCGGTCCTTGCGGGAAGTACAATGCTCTGGTAATGGAACTTCTCGGACCGAGTCTAGAGGACCTATTCGACCTCTGCGGTAGGAGGTTTACCCTAAAGACCGTTCTCAAAATCGCCACACAGATCGTAAGTGATATTAATGTATCAATTTTATGTTTGTTCGAATTTTAAATTGTCGAAGAATCGTCTCGTCTAAATTAAATCAACGATTTTGCTACGTTATGACGTTGCCAACGTAGATTTCCCGTTTAAAGCGATAATTAATTTTGATAGGTATACTAGATGATAAGTTTGTTTGTATTAATTGAAATATTGCTTCTCCACAGCTTCATAGGATAGAATACGTTCATAGTCGGCATTTGATCTACCGTGATATCAAGCCGGAAAACTTCCTGATAGGACGATGCACAACCAAACGGGAAAAGATTATCCACATCATCGATTTCGGACTGGCCAAAGAGTACATAGACCTGGAGACGAACAAACACATACCGTACCGGGAACACAAGAGTCTGACGGGCACAGCGCGTTATATGAGCATCAACACGCATCTTGGAAAAGGTAACTTTTACCTCGGTTTAGATATCCGTGCATAAGACGACGGCTACAACAACAACCTGGCCGCCGGCCCATCTGCACAAACTTTTCAAACTTCGCCGCTTGCTCGTTCTTCACAGACCCGGAGAAAGTTTGTAAGCGAGCACGCGCCGCGCTACGCTATATTAAATCCACCAAGAATGTTTCTTCGCAACGTTCGCGGCAACGTTTCTGCTTTGCTCGCGGACAATTGTTACGTCGTTTATATCTCTTGATTATATTTCGGGAAAAAAATGGGTCCTGGTTCTCGTGCGTCATATAGACTTTTGGTATTATACTATGGTTATAGCGGATATATGCTCGGACGAATGAAACATTTGAAGAGCAATGTAAATCATATATGATAGAATATATATGTTGTATTCTCATAAAATTGTTTTGACGTATCTCTTAGAACGCCAGCTCGTCAGAAAACGTCTTCGCTGTAACCATAGACCGAGGCAAAAATTTATACGAACACCACCGATGCAAAATTTGTAATTTTCGTATTTTTGTAATTAGAGCAGAGTAGAAGAGACGACCTAGAAGCGTTAGGGAACATGCTGATGTACTTCCTGCGCGGTAGCCTTCCGTGGCAAGGGCTGAAAGCGGACACGTTGAAAGAACGATATCAAAAGATCGGCGATACGAAGCGGAACACGCCGATCGAGGTTCTCTGCGATGGACATCCCGAGGAAATGGCTACGTACTTGCGGTATGTGCGTAGATTGGATTTCTTCGAGACGCCCGACTACGAGTACCTGAGAAACCTTTTCCACGACCTGTATGAGAAACGAGGTTTTGTCGACGACGGAGAATTCGACTGGACTGGCAAGACGATGGTACGTGATCCATTGACGAACAAGTGATCCCTGTATACGTCACTTTCTCTTTTACCCCTTCGCAATGCATGCAAGAAAGGAAGACAGAATAACAGGAGAGTTACATGATGGTCGATTATGTCCAGGGACGAAGCACGTATCGCAAGAGTCGATATCAAAAAACCTATAGTGGAGTTCTCTTTTTTTCTTTTCCTTCTTTTTTTCTTTCTGTTTACATATTCGAACGATTGCCAATTTACGATTAACGCAATGTACAATAATGTTCACATTTATTTATTTGATTACGTAAATTAAAAGATTTTTTTATCAATGATACCTCTTGATTATATCTATTTCATTCGTGCGGCATTCGAGCGTATTCATTATATTGTACATAGTAGTTTTAGCGATAATCGCGTAGAAACTTCGAGATATCGTCTCTTCTGGGTAAGTAGGTCGTCCTGAGGAATTCCTTCTTTACATCGGCCCTACGTCTTTATTTTTGGTGAAAAACATGTTTCACTGATTTTTAACGTTTGCATGCTGCTCCCAATAAACCTCTAGCCACACAACTTCGATCAACTTAGAGCTCTGAGGATGGCTCCTCCCTCTCACATTGGAAAGACTAAATCTGATAAGGTGGGTGATAAACTGTACGCGAAGTTCACGTTTTTATTACCTGTACGCAGACGTGTGCGTGTTCGACAGCTTGAATATCGAAATTATTTGAAAAAAGTACACCGACTTTCTATTAATGTATGCAAAAAGGACGACGCTGTACCAAGATAGTTTGTCAAAGAAGCGTGTATTCCTGCTCGGAGAGAATCGCTCGTAAAGCGCATGGAACGATACTGGGAGCTTATCGACTTTTATTTCGTTGAGCATGAAAATGTTATTCCTCCTTAGAGACACGATATCTCGTTCTGACCGAGATTCGCATTTACGTCCGCAAGAGTTGCATTCACCACTTAAGCATGCATATTTCCTTCCCTGCCCCTATGTTCAATTATTTATTTTATGCTTGTACCAAGATTCTCTCGCAATATTTATATACATATAGTATTTATATTTAAATAGTATGGTAAGTGCGTTGTTTACCTTGCCATTTTTCTTTAATTTGTTAACCGAGGAAATTATATTTACATCTACAGGGGAAAATAATCCGATTGAAATTGATTTGTCTTTACCATCGATCTTTAATTTTAGAATTTTATAATTATAGAGCATATAATTGTAGAATATAGTTTCGTATTAATAAACGAACCGGTAAACAGATTAAAAAACTTTTTATTCCTTTGTAGAACATTGAATGCCAGTACTGTAACGTAGATTAGATTTCTAATCTGTATGGGAACTATCTTCTCTATGGTAATACTCTTTTCATCCTTACAGTGAATGAATGGTATAGCATGTTTCTACCAGTTAATTTAGAATGCTTCACGTTTGCAGATAATATTAGTCATGGTAATGTCGTATTTTTATTTGAATATGGATGTCCGTTTTATCTTCTCCAGTTCGAAGAGCAATGTACGAAATAATAATGTCCAATGTTACCGTCAATTATTATTTCATTTCTGTCTTCAAGTATGTTATACGAAATTGATCTATCTGTAAACATCGTCTGATAAACAATACACTCCACTGAATGTAATATTTGTGTTTCGTTTTCAGTCCACACCTGTTGGATCCCTGCAGACTGGACAAGAGATTATTGTATCTCCGAATCGTGATCGGCACCCGTACAAGGTACGTATACGCTTTCATTTCGATATTCTATTTTTCTTTTTTTTTTTCTTTTGAAACAAGAAACAAGCATGGTTGTGTGAAGCTTACCTATCTTAAATAACAGCATGAGTATACACCTCGTCGGTATATATATATATATATAAGTAAATAAAAAAATACAAATATATATATACATATATTTTTAAACAAATTTCACGAAAGCTGTTTGCAATTGAGTTGTCGAAAAGGGAACGTTCTTGAGATAATAAATGTTAAGATACAAAAGTAGAAATTTGAGTCAGGACTTTTGCCGAAAACGTTCGAAGCATATTCGAAGATAGTTGGACTTTCTAAAAAAACAAAAAAAGTATTACATATACGATTTTGTTTCTTTGCGAAACATGGAAATCATCGATGTGTAGGAATGCGATGATTTTGAGGAAAATGTAGTCCTCGCGTTGGATGAGGTTCACATCGAAATGCAAGGCAACTACGTAAGCCACCAAAATCTTGTAATACGCTGGTCTTACTTCTTCATGCATGTTCTATCTTATCGTAGATGATTCGGGATAAAATTGTAGTTACGTGAATGGCCGGTTATCATATCAGATAAACCAGCGTTTTTTTTTCTTTCTTTCTTTCTTCCGCTTTGAAGCAGTCATGACGATTTCCAATGACACAGCTTGATTTGAAGTAACGGTACTAAGAGCAATTTGAATTTCATTAATTTTTTCGTTAAATATGCAAACTTTTATATTTCACATTTAAATACATGTGTGAAGAAGCGACTTAGGACATGCCGTATCTGAAATCCCTGTTGGCAATCCTTCTAGTATTGTTTCTATCATCGACGATAAATTTAAATGTAGTTAGTCACGTATTTAGTTGGCGAGTATCGAGTAAATTAAAGATCACTTAATCTCATTCACAAAATTCTATCAATAAATTTCGCATAGTATTCTACTAGTATCTTAGATATAAATATCAAACAATCGTGAAAATTATACCATGCTAAACGGGCAACAGACAACGATAAAACTCATGTCATTGATGATCTTCACATTTGGGTGCAGCTTCGAGTGGCATAAAGTTTATTAATTTTTTTTTTTTTATTGCCGTTGAAAAGTGGTCTTTAGTGCTTATTCCTTTAGGATGTGACAGAGCCAGGGGTGGGAGGCGGGGGCGGTAAAT